CAGGCCACGAAGTGAAGTGTCCGAACGTCATAGGGCGGGAAGCTGGGTGTGGGTGGTGGCGAAGAGTCGTGTGGATATTTGGTAGAGCTTGCACTGCCCCCCCACAAAGTGGGGGTATTGGCTGGCGTCGCATGAAAACCCTGGCACTGGTGAGAACACTGAGCGTTCGGGTAAAGTGATTGTTGTTGTTGTTGTTGTTGTTGTTGTTGTTGTTGTTGTTGTCGTTATCGTTGTCGTTGTCGGTATCGTTGTTGAACTCCCATTTCTGAATAAGTACTGTTGATCCCCCCCACCGGTGCGCACTGTTTTTCAATCAAAGTGTACCCCTCGACGCTCGCACCCTGTTTTCTGGCAGGGAAAATCTTGATGCTCAAACTGGGCCCCCGGCCCCCGGGTTACAACAACAACGGCTCCCGAGCCCCGTCTGCTGGCTGGCACCCCTCGTGCCCGCCTACCCGGCGCGCCCTGATCGCCTGCCCCCCAGTGCAAGCCCAGGGCCCGCGCCCCCGGCTCGTCTCCCCCCTCCGCCTGCACCCCCCGCGCCCCGGTTTACGATGCGACCCCCTCTGCCTGCCTCGTCTGCTGCGTGCTCCCGGCCGTCGCCTGCCCGTTCCCCTTCTCTCACGGGTCGCGCGGCCTCCAGCGCCGCCCAGCCCTCTGCTGCTCCCACCACCAGTGTGAGCAGGGAGGGCCGGCGTCTCCTGCGCCTCCTGCTGCCCCTGACCTCCCAGTTGTTCCATCCGCATGGCTTGACCTCGACCTCGATGGACCCACAGCAGGCCCCCTGTGCCAACGACGGAGCTGCACACCTACATCGGTGCACGGCTAACCAGATCTCCCTGCAGTGCCAGGGCACAACCGCGTCGGATCCAGCGACTAAGTCGGGCTGGAGGCGGTGGACGCTTCCTCGCCTCAGGTTTGGACAGCGTATGGCAGCGACTAACCTCGCCTCGCCCTCGCCCTCGCTCTATTCGCTCGCAGAACTGGAACGGTTCATGGACGTCCTCACTGAATCGGTTTACTTTTTTGGTCGGCGGCTCCCATTCAACGGACAGGGAGCGGAAGCGGCGTCCGGGAATGCGTGGTGTGCACATGCACTGAGCAAAATGCCCCGCATGAAGGCGAACGCACCTAGGCGCCAGCCACACCGGAGTGAAGCAGACCGCAGTGCAGTGCAACGGAGAAGTCGCCCTGACGGCGCCAAGCTCCGAGTAGCTCTCCCGGCCGAAACTGAATCGGTCTACGCGGAGGACCTCCCCGCCGAGGCTGGCCCCGCCCCACGTGGAAAAAACCCCACGGCGGCACAGCGGCCCCCCCCGGAAGCGCCCTGCCTCTGATCTGGAGCTGCTGGGGCCGGCCGCACAGCGATGCGACTCCCGCCGTGGGGTCCATGGCAGCGGCTGCCTCGCGCCGCCGCGGCGTGGCCACGCCGGGTGTCCTGGCCCGTCGGGCCAAGGCATTGGTGGGCGTCCAGCTCTGGCGCCAGGCGGCTGCCATGGTGTCGGCCTGCTTGCCGTCGGCCCACCCAGGTGACGTCGTGGACGTCCTCCCGGCGGCCCGCGATCGCCGGTTGCTGGAACTGGGGCTCGCTGGCGGGACGGGAGCTGACGAAGCGCAGGCGGCGTGGCCTGGTGGCCCGGTTGCCGCGGATGGCCTTGCTGGCTCGGGTGGGGTGGATGCCCCTGGCGGGGCTGGAGACGACGCGGCGCGGGCCAGGGAGGCTAGCCCAAACGCTGCCGCGGGGCCTGTGGGCGCCCCTGGCTTGGGAGGCGCGGGAGGCGGAGCGGCGCTTGCTGGCCCGGGCGGCGCCGCGGGCGCTGCGGGCGGCGCCGCGGGCGTGGCCGCGCTCGTGGCCGCGTTCGAGGCGCTGGGAGGCGCCGAGCTCGGTGGCGCCGGGGGCGACTGCGCGGCGCCGGGTGGCCCGGCCGGGCCTGCGGCTACTGCGGCGCCCGCTGGCAGTGACCCTGGCCGCGGCGGCGCTGGAGGCGAGGCGGCGTTGGCCGGCCGCGGTGGCGCCGACGGCGCTGCGGAGCGCGGTGGCGGCGGCGCTGCGGGCGAGGAGGCGCAGTGGGACGCGCCCAGTGCGGTGGGCCTGGAGGCTGCGCCGGAGGCTGGCGGCGAGGCCCCGCCCGCGCGGGAATTGGCCGAGTCCGGGCCCGACTCGGCCACGCGCCGCGCGGGCGGGAGCGACGGCGCTGGAGGGGTGCGCGACGCGCCCAGTGCGGCGGGCCTGGAGGCTGCGCCGGAGGCTGGCGGCGGGGCCCCGCCCACGCGGGCAATGGCCGAGTCCGGGCCCGACTCGGCCACGCGCCGCGCGGGCGGAAGCGACGGCGCTGGAGGGGTGCGCGTCGTCACCTTTGGCGCGCCCGGGGGCCCTGCCGGCGCCGCCGATGGCTCCGGGCTTGGCGGTGCTGCGGCGGCGCCCCCGGCGGTTGGGGGCCTAGCCGACGCGGCGGTGCTCGACGCCGAGCTTCTGGACGACGCTGTGCTGGCAGCCGCGGGCGGCGCTGCGGCGGCAACTGTGCAGCTGGGCGGCGCCGGAGGCGCGGCCGCTGCCCTGGAGGCCGCGGCAGTGGCGGCTGAGCGTGACGCACGGCCTGGCGCGGCGCTGGCCGGTACGATCGGCCCTGCTGGCGACGGGAGCGCGGCCGCAGCCCCAGAAGCCGCCAGCCCGGGGCCTGGGGCGCGTGTCCGGGCCCTGCGCCTCGTCTACGGGCGCGGGCCTGTATGAGGCGGGCGGTGGCGCTGCCGGGACTAGCTGGCCGAGCCGCGGAAAAAAAAAGCGCCCTGCATCCCTGGCGCCCTCGGAGCGCTACCCACGACGGCGCCTTCAGTACGGGGGGCCTGGCATCCTAAAACGACGCGAAGTTCGGGACAAAATCGGATCGGGATAACTCGAAATCTCTGAGGATCGGCGGGTTTGGAGGATGTATTTGGCGCCGCGGCCGCACCAGAGCGTTCCGGAACGCTCTGAGAGCGCTCCGGAACGCTCTGGAGCGATTGATCCCGATCCCAGCCCTGTTTTAGAGCGGATGCTCTCGGATGGCTTTCCCCCTCGCACTTGGGTCCTGGCGTGCCTCCCTGGAGGGCCTCTGCGGCCCCTTGGCCCTGCGACCCGGCCTCCCCGCAGGTCCCCCTCGTGCGTCAAGGATGGCGGCGAGCGGGCTGGCCGCATCGCGCGGGGTGCTCTGCCCCGTGCCTGCCTCGGTTCCCGGCTGCCTCCTCGCACCTCGGCCTGCGGGCCTCGGCGAGCCCCCGGGTGCGTTCGCGCTGCCCGCTTGCGCATGTTCCGCCTCTTCCCTCCTCTCTCGTCTCCTCCTCCTCCTCCTCCTCCTCCTCCTCCTCCTCCTCCTCCTCTTCCCTCCTGTCTCGTTTCAGGAGGGGGAAAACACACAGACACAATTAATCGTCGATTCCCAGGAAAATATGGGAAAATATGGGAGGTGGGGGGGAAGACAGAAAACCCGAAAATAAGGGAAAATATGGGGACATATTTTATTTGTGTGTATTTATTTGTGTGTCCCAGGGCCCCTTCATCGTTTCCTCGTCCTCTGCATGCCCGCTCCTCCACGGAGTCCTGGGTGTGGCCGTCCTCGCGGGCCCTCGGCTGGCCCCCCCCTTGTTTTGGCTGATGCGCGGCCGACTCTCCGGCGACCCCACGGGCTTGCCGGCGCTGTTGCCTCAACGGTGCAGCCTCTGCGATGCTACGCCGCCCTTGCTGGCCTTCGGCCTCCTTGTGCCCTGTCCTGCTGTGCCCTCCCAGCACGTCGTTTCCTGCCAGTCGTTTGCCTTCTTTCGGGGGTGGACAGAACCCCCAACAGTGACACGTCGATTAGTGAATTGTCCGCTTTCGGTTCTCGAGAGGGCGCCGTGGCCGTTATTTTCCAGGTCTGCGCCCGCCAGGTTTGGGCCCGAGGTCGTTTGCACTAAACCACGTTTTACTAGAGGGAGGTCTGTCCATCCCCGATTCTTACCTTGTCTGACCCCCCCGGTCAACCATGCCTGCATGACCTGTGGCTGGCCGCGGCGCTGCTCATTCTGAGCGGCTTGAGGGTTCGGCCTTTAGACGCGTGCGCGTTCTCTTCTCCGACTTTGGACGCTCTGTCGCTGCGTGCGGAGACGCGACGCCAACAAAAACTGTGCGTGTGTGTGCGTGTGTCTGCGCGTATGTACGGTCGGTTCATGCGGCGTTGGCGCGCCGGCGACGCCGGCGAAGGCGTTCAAGGTTGAATTCTGCGATTCGGAAACACCGACGGACACGGTGACGCCACTGGACCCGACGGGATTCAACCTTGAAGGATCGGGGCCGCGATCGATTCAAAATTGGACGATCGACGCGTGACGCGTTGACGCCGCACGAACCTACCGTACATCAGTGTGATTGAGATGGGGTGGCTGCCGACCGAGACAATGACGTTAGCACCGATATCGGAGGAAAATAGCAAACAGAACGGGCAATCATGTGTGACATTTTCTATGATGAGTAGATCGGGCGATCGTTTCTTGAGGAAGCTTGTCTCGGGAGGCGTTCAGAAAAATAGGGCCAGTTTCAGCGTATTGTGAAGTTGCGCGTTATCGAAGACGCGTGCGGCGACTCACCGCTGCCCTCTTGTTTTTGGAAGCGCCCTTGTCGTTAAATGCCGGGCGGAAGTGCGGCCACGCTAGTGGACTGGAGAGTGTTTCCCAGCGATGGCACTGGGGGAACGCTGGGGCTGGGCCCTCTTGGGCCGTCTTGGGGCTCTCTTGGGGAGGGCTGCCAGAGTCTCATCTCGCGGCTATTGCTTGAGCAGCGTGTCTCACCAGGCCGCGCGCACGGGCGCGCGAAGCGATGCCCTGCCCGGGGCGATTCCAGAGACGCCGCAATACGACCAATGTGCCCACTTTTCCCCTCCCTTATCCGCTGCCCATCCCCCTTCTTGCCCGCCTTGCCCCCTTTTCCCGTTCCCTCTCGTCCTTCCTGCGCTTCCCCGCTTCTGGCATGCTGCTCCGCCCTGGCCCAG